AAATAATGCAACTAAATGAATAATGTAACTAAAGGGTTAATGTAACTTAACAAATAATGTAACTAAATGAATAATGTAACTGAACCTCCACAGTATCCAGTTGCAGGCACTAAAACTTTTATTTTGGTAGGATGGAGCATCATGAACCCCCTCTGATGGCTGAAGGAGACGTTTGCGAATTATATTTTGACTGAAACAGTTTTCTAATTCAAACAGCATTATTTTACTAACAGGGATGAAGTGTGTTTCTTTTCCTTTTTTGTGTTTCCTCTTCATTCCTTAAGAGGTGCCCAAACCCAGAGAGTGCAGCCATGTTGTGGTGGCGTGCGGCGCGACGCCATTTTGTTCCGAAGCGGTGCCAGGGAGGCAGGCAGGCGAGTCACCGGTGATGGGTTTTAGAGGTTCGGAGGTTGGCATCGAACCCTCTTTGTCTGCTTGCAGCGTGCCTTTGATTCGTTGGTTGGCACCCGCAATGCGGTGGGCACGCTGGAAAGTTGTTTTTTTTTGGTAACGGTGGCAGAATGGAAGCGGCTGCCTTTGTTCTGCTGCGACTGCACGAAACAAACAAACATACAATCAAACACAAAGAAACTAGCAAATCGGCTCCGAGTGAAAGGGAATCTAGTGTTCGAGCGAACGGCTAGAAGCTGCAAACAAAAAGTGCTCAGTCTTTTTTTTTTTTTGGCTCAGTAGATTGTTCTTGTGTTCGCCGCTCACCTCAACCAAAGTTATTTAGCTTATTTGTGTCGTTTGGTATAAATCCCTGCCTGAGAGAGGTCAGCCGGTTGGCAGCAAGAGTCCTGGGTGGACTTTGAGAGGGCACTCGCAGAATTCACCCCCTTGTTGAGGGGCGCACACCAGACCGCAGCACCCATGTGTATGCCCAGCTGAATGCCCGCTGGGAAGCAGGCTGAGGGCCGGGGGTATTAGGAGGAGAGGGCCGGGGGTATTAGGAGGAGGGGCGGGAGGGCAGCCATTGTGCCAACTGGCAGTTCAGCAGAGTCCTGGCTTCACACACTCTGCAGTCTTTTATTGTTATCTGATCAAACTAAAAGTACTCTTTCTTACCCCCCCCCCCCCCCCCGAGTCATCGCCTCTCCACACCTGCACTCATATTTTACATATCTAGTTTGACAGCTTGATGAAATAGTTGCAAAAAGGCATGTAGGTACTCGTCGTGTCGGGACGTGTCGGGGTTGAAGCTTCGTTTTGTGTTTGCGTCTTTGTTGAGCTGCTCGTCCCTTTTTATCGAACAGCTTTGGGTGGTGGGGGGAAGGGGGGGGCTACATCTGGATGTTCTGCTCGAGTTAATAAAATATGAAACTTGAGAATTATTGGCTGTTTTTGCAAGCGTATAATTAGTGTTCCCCCCAACAGTCCCTGTCGTTTTAAACGCCTCGACACGTTTCTGTCACTTTTAGAAGAAGAAGAAGAAAGATGGTTCGGCTGGTCTGTTGGGAGACTGACGGAGTCGGGGTCGTGCAGTTTTCCCATTACTCCATTGCTGAAAGTTTACACGGCCATAAAACATCATTACCTTGACTTTGTAACTTCTCCCCCCCCCCCCCCCCCCCCCCCCCCCCCCCCCCTCACACCGTCGTGATAGTTTGAGGAAATGGATAGATTACCTCTGAAAAGGGGCTGACACGTTAATGGAGACCGTGTTTTACAATCGCCGGAGTTAACCTCTGGCCCCCGAGGGGTCGGGACCTCTGCGGCGGGATGTGGCAGGGTGTCCTCTGAAGTTTAATTGAGCAAAACAGATCGGTGGGAGCGCACAGTCGCAGGCTCAGGGGCACGTGGAGGAGGAAGACTTTGTGTCAGGGGTGGTGTTGGTGGTAGGGTGGGGGGGGGCGCGGGTCATAAGCGCTCCTCGTTGACCTCTTCAATCAGGGTCAAACTGCAGCGGTCGGAGGATCACTTGTGGTCTCTTGGCAACTGTTTGTCTCCACTCCTCCCTCCGGCCTCCTCCTCTAGTCTGACTGGTGGTCCCTTGGTTCACTGGCCTAAGTGAGGGGGAGTAATAGGCGGCACATGCCCTCACCTCCCACCCCGCTCCAATCCCTCTGGCCGGGTCGGGATCTTCGCGACCGGCCATCGCCTGCGTGGGGTAGCTGTTTGCATCTTGTTTTCCGCCCGGCTGCCTCAGAGGCTTCAGCCGGACGCTCAATGTGGAGGTCTGACCTTCTGGGTCACAGTGGAGGTCTGTGACTAAGCACCCTCCCCCTCCCTGCATCGCCTTATCCTCCTCTGCCATCAGAAATCACCCCCGTGGCACGCTCGCTGCCCAGCCAAAAGACTCGCTCCTCCTTTCTCCCGAGTTTTCTTCCCCTTCGCTCGCTCCCTGGCTCAAGCCTGCGACCCACGACAGCTGTCCCGCGTCCAGGCGTCCGGCCAGAGGAACGGCTGGAATTGCGCCAGAAGCGTGAAACAAAACTTTGTAGTGAGAAGAACGCATGAAAGCTTACGCCAAGTTATTCAGCACGTTTTTAATTTGTAGATTTGTCGAGTGAAGTTATGCTAAGAGCATAGATCTGAATAGATTTTGGAAATAAATTTCTCATCGTAAAAAATAAATAAGTGTAAACCACAAATCCCAGGAAAAGCAGTATAGACAAAAAAAGAAGGGCTTCACGTTGAACTGCACAACCCCGCGCTTAGCTTCCACTCTGTGTTTCTTATTAGTATGCAATAGAGCCTGCGGTGTCTAGCCTACGTCTCTCTCAAAGCCATAACCTTATCGAACACTTTCTCTCAATCTAATCCACTTAGAACTCCCTCCCAGCTTCACCGCTTGCCTTATTGATTTCCGCTTCCCACTAAATGCCTTTCCGATCCTTTTTCTCTAAAGCCAGGAGCTATTTATGCTTCGCAATGCAGTCTTTCCTTGCTTGCTTAGTTTCTGTTTCTCTTAATGCCTTTACCTTCCTCTCCAGGATCTTTGCTTGTTTGTGAGATCCGTCTGACTTCCCC